AACACAAGAAGCAGGTTATGCTTTTTTCGTGTCCACATTACTCAGTTTTCACGTTTTTCTTCACTCTTGCACCTCTCTCTGATCTTTCTTTTTGGAGCGCAAACGAAGAAAGAAAAAAATGAGGAAAATATTAACTTCATTCTTTTTCCTGTCTGAGAGAAGAGAAGAAATCGGTTTTGCGTTGAAGAGAGCGCGAGCACAAAAGAAATACGCCGAGAGAGAGAGAGAGAGAGAGAGAGAGAGAGAGAGACAGGTGTTGCTTCACACGCGCGGTGACTGAACATAACCGAGTGAGAGAGATAACCCAATTGTATTTTTTTTCTTTTTTGTCTGATTACACCTCCTCCTCCTCCTCATTCTTCTTATTTTTCTTTCTACTTTTATTCTTTTATTAATACCGTCGTTTATTTCTGTAGTATTACACAATCGCTTCGGAAAGGAGAAAGGAAAATACTTTATATATTTCTGTCTCTTCTGATCAGGATTTTACAGGTCGTTGCTTCAATTTTAGCTTCTCTGTTTTCTTTGTTTATCTTTCTAATTACCATTGGCAATGTTGATATCGTTCATGTTGTTATTTGTTGTTAATGTTGTCGTTTAATTGTTATTATATTTATCTGCATCTTCTCTTTTTCTTATTTTCTTACCCATCACAAGCTGCCATAGTTTTTGCTTGTTGTTTTTTCGTCTTCAAGCCGTAAAAGTTGTGCTTTTAAACCTCTTTACGGTGCTTCCGGGTTCGCATTACGTCACAGCTCTTAACAGGTCACGCATGACGTCACTCACAAAAATAAGAAAACGTCCTTGTTGTTGTTGTCATTTTCATTATTATTATTGTTGGGGATATTTGTTGTTATTAGTGTTATTATTATTATCATATTTTTTATGTTTATATTTATTTTTCTTTTGTTGTTATCATGTTTATGTTAATTCTTATTTTATGATGGTGATTATGGAAAGGTATGAATGAGAATGAATATATTCACAGTACAAGAAATATTTGTTTTTATTCATACCTATTTTACAGCTGTCGCAATGAATACGGTTCATGATGATTGCTGTTTTTGATTTTGTCATTAGTATTATTCTTTTCGTCATTACTATCAGCTTTCAGTGTTTACTTATCATTAATAATTTTATAGCACGGTAATAAAACGTTGACCATTATATTCTGTTTCCGGAATAACGCCATGTTGAAATTTAAAAAAAACTAATAAAATAGATTTGATTTTATCATTATGATATATTCTTTTGGAGGTGGAGGGTAATCCTACCATTTTATATCTTTAAATTTGTTATAACTGTTATTTGAAAATTAGTTCATTCTATTAGTCATTGAAGTTTCTGAAATTTGATGGAGTTAGATGGGATCGTTGCGTCTGAAGTTTCTGAAATTAGATGGAATTAAAAGGGTTTAATTGCGTTATAGATCATTAGGATTCTTAAACCAAATGACTTTAATTCCGTGTAGGTTTCTTGGTGTTTCTTCAGCGAACAAATTTTCTTTGCCTAGTGATAATCATTGTTGTTTTGATCACTGTTATTCCATATATTATGTGTTTTATTTTTCCGTGTGGTTTCGTATGATTAAGTTCCCCCATAATTACAATTCGTCGGCGTTTTCACAAACCGGCGAATGTGCAGCATTCCTTTTTCTAGAGAATTCCCTCTGAAGATTTTCCCCTTCAGATGCCCTCTCTTTTTTCCAATGCTCTGATTATTTTTTTGTGTTTTAAAAGTCCATAGTACTTGAATACCTGCAATGCATCGACGTCCAGCTGGCATTGTCTCAATAAAAGCTAAATTTCCCCTTTCGCCGGTTTGGGAAAACACCGACGAATGATCACCCAGTGCACTCTTGAAATAAAATCACGCATACAAGCAACGAATTGACAAGTGAACACGTAAACAAATAGATAAATAAATATAATACATGATCATTTACCTTAACCCCCCCCCCCACACACACACACAAAACACCCATCACTAACCCCTCCCCCTCCCCCCCTCCCCAGGCGTTCGGATGCTGGACGGCACCGTGAACGACGCGGTGGAGGCGCGCGCCATCTCGCTCAACCCTTCGCACATCGACATCTACTCGGCGTCGTGGGGGCCCGAGGACGACGGCAAGACGGTGGACGGGCCCGGACCCCTGGCCAAGAGGGCCTTCATCAACGGCGTCATCAAGGTGCGGAGCAGGGGGAGCTGGAGTGTCTGTGGAGGAGGGAGGAAGGTTGAGAGAGAGAGAGAGAGAGAGAGAGAGAGAGAGAGAGAGAGAGAGAGAGAGAGAGAGAGAGAGTACCTTTGTATACTTTTGCGTATGGGAAGTTTTGTTTTTACATATTACCATGTATAGCATTGCAAAAACCATTGCAATACTTGAAACCCCATCAGTTTCCAAGCTCCATCTCAACACGGGAATGGAATCTCCGGAGTTGTCCCAGAAAGTGTCAACGAATTAAATCATATCAATGACCTCAAATCCAACCTTTCCCTCGACCTCACCTCAAGTAAGACCTTTGAAATCCGACGCCCCAACAGGGTCGACATGGCAAGGGGTCCATCTTCGTGTGGGCTTCGGGCAACGGCGGGAGGCACACGGACAACTGCAACTGCGACGGATACACCAATTCCATTTTCACGCTGTCCATTTCCTCCGCGTCGCAAAGAGGGTGAGTGGCGAGGCAAAGAAAGGAAAGAGGAGGGAAAAGGATGTAGATATTCGTGATTGATTGATTTTTTCCTCTCTTCTTTGGAGGAGCATCTCAGCTTGTGGTATTTATTGTTTCATGTTTTATTTTTAGGTACAAGCCATGGTACCTTGAGGAATGTTCTTCAACTTTGGCCACAACGTATAGTTCTGGCACCCCAGGCCTTGACCGCAGCGTTGCCACAGTCGACATGGATGGCAACCTGAGATCGGACCACATTTGCACGGTGGAGCACACAGGTGAGGCGCAATCTTTCTGCACATTGCGTGAGTTTTTGTTGAGGGTGATTTTTTATATTATTTGTTTAATGCATATGTATGTGTGTCCGTGTGTATATGTGTATGTATATACAAATTTACACACACACACACACACACAACACACACACACACACACACACACACACACACACACACACACACACATGTACACATACACACATACACACACACATACACACACACATACACATATACACACACATTATACACACACACATATTACACACACACATACACATACACATACACACACACACACACACACACACACACACACACACACACACACACACACACACACACACACACACACACACACACACACACACACACACACACACACACACACACACACACACACACACACCACACACAGCACATACACAACACATACACACACATACACACACATACACACACACACGCACACACACACACACACACACACACACACACACACACACACACACACACACACACACACACACACACACACACACACACACATATATATATATATATATATATATATATATATATATATATATATTATATATATATACCCCTACACACACAGATATATATATACAGAATATTCAGTATACTTATAATCCATAAATATTCATTTATACATGTATACATACATATGTATATACATAAACTGTAGACATAAATATAGACAGATAGATATAGGTATAGATATATAAAGAAAGACAACCACATAACATGATTTGAAAATTGCATCTCTTTCAGGTAAAAATACCCTCTCTGATATAATGTCCCAGGAATACTTAATAAAATAAAGTCTCACACAACTCCTTCACCTGCAGGCACAAGTGCCTCAGCCCCCCTCGCAGCTGGAGTGTGCGCCCTAGGTCTCGAAGCCAATCCTGACCTGACCTGGCGTGACATGCAACACCTGGTAGTCATGTCATCCCGCTATGAACCACTCAGTCAAGAAGATGGCTGGTTTGTAAACGGCGTTGGGCGCAGAGGTAAGTTTGGAATTTTGGTTTGAAACTTTGTCTTGTAGGTATCGAAGTAGCTTTGTAATTACTTGGCATTTTGTTTATTTTTATCTTGATTGATGGCAGAGTATACTAATATTTAGCTGATTGGCAGAAATGCATGCTTCTTTACTCAATACTGATCCTGTAATACAAGGCTTTGCTACTAATTTTGGTTTATTTCTATCTCTTCTTTCTTCTCTGTTTTGAGAGTATGGAAATTGATGATTAATTTTTTGCACTCTGGACCTCTTGTTCCTCAGAGATATTAAGATGATATTCAGCTTACCCATAATCCATACTAATGGTCACTGCATAATGTACCTGATGGGAAGAAAAAAGAAAATATCGTAGCCTCTTGAAAATTAATTACATTTCTGCTTTGCTTCTTATGAAAGAATTTGCATTTATGCTTGCTGATTCATATGTTTTCTTTCTCTTCAAAACTTGACCCATTGGATTTCATAGTTGATTACATTTCAATAATCACAATGAGAACCTGACTTACTCTCTACCTGAACTCAGTACTCCATTTGTACAAGGCCATCAGAGTCTAAGAAGAGTAGGATATCTGGGAATGTTAAAAGTGCACTAAGCCAGGGTTCCAGCCTTATCTGATTCCAGAACCAGGCTCAGGTCAGACATTATCAGCCCTTTAGCCAGGCTTGGGGCATTCTGTGCCCAGTTATTGCATAAAAACTATGACTTTAAAAACTTTTCAAAATCAAAGTAAATGCTTCCAGTACATGTAATTAAAACAGGAGAACAGGGCTATTTGAAGTAACTTCAGAACTGAGTCGGATTGAAATTTGCTTTAGGTAATAATTTTACTTGAAGCCTTTCGTGTCTTCATTATTTAGAGAGCAATGTAATGTCAGAGTTGCATCATACCTTGTGTGGCATGATAATAGGAACATATTAGCACTAGGACTGGTCAAATTTCCCATTTACATTTTATTACACCATTAAACATCTTGATGTAATTATTCTTCTGAAAAATAGCAGGTTTTCAGTTTTCATTCTTTACTACACTAGTTTCCTTAGACCTTAGAAGTGAAAATTAAGAATTATATTCCCACAGCCACATTTTTAGTATAAATGTCAAACTGATTCAGACCAGTTTTTTTGAGATCAAGTTTTTCCAGCACCAAGGCCCAGAAACTTGGTTAGACCTAGCCTTTACAGCATAACACTGTACCCTGTCAGAACTGAAGTCTGGAGTGGATTACCTTGTAGGATATAGAACTCTGCACTGTCAAGGAGTGCAGAGTTCAGGGAGATAGTCTGATGACACTGAATAACTTTAAGCTTAAGAAGCAGGAAGAACTTTGAGTGGTGAAAGAATATAATCATAGTACACTAAATTGAGATGAAACAATGTCAGACATCGAGCGGAGTGAATCGTGAATATATTAGGAATGTGAAAATAAATGCGAAGAAGGCGAGTAAATACGAAGAAAAATAGGAGAGAGATAAATGTAAGCAAGAGCAGAGAAGGGAGGGAAGGAGACAGTGAGCGAAGACGGATCGTAGAGTTACCGTTTGAGCACGATGACGTCATGGATTTGTTGTGAGGGTAATGAAGAGACTAGTACGAGATACGAAAGAGAGAGAAGTAAGAGTAAGAGATCGATATGAAAGAAACATTAGGTATACTAGTATAGATTAAGTTGAGCAATGAACACGATGTGTATGAGTTATCGTACCAGTAGGAAGTGATTCCAAATAAGAGAGCTTTAAGAGTATGAAGAGATCTATTTATAGTAGTAGCAAGAGAGAGAAGGAGCGGAAAGATTAAAGTGAATTATTTAACAGTGTATCGTATGAGAGAGATCTTTTGCTTGTATGCAAGAGGATCATATAACTAGGGGAGGGTGGGAGGAGAATAAAGTGAGAAGGAAAAAAGATAGCGCAAAGATGATGGCGAAAGAGAGGACGAGACCAAATGCAGACTGGGTGACGAGGCCAGGGAAAGGTATGAACACTGGGCCATGGTTAGAGCATTAAAAAGAAGCAATGCCATTGTGGCTGTACGCAAATTAGGATGATCGAAACGATAGTGGCGAGAGGGGTAAACTCTGAGGCGATTGGTTGGACACACTTATCTGAATAGCAAGAGAGTGAATATGCAAGTCGTATAAGCGAATGTCTCCCAATGCATTACACACGACACAATCCTCTCCCTTACTCCCTATCTCAACACCTATATCCTGACGTACTCAATCATATCTTCTGAAGGTCAACTGACTGCACTGCGACGTACATCCAAATTTGACTTGTACATCCTGCTCCTCTCGAATCTAAGACGAAGGACAATCGAAACTTTTCCTCAACTTCGCTATCACGATACATAAAAAGACCTCCACCGGAGAAAGGTAAAGTAAAAAGTTTATGCTTGTCATGAATTTGGTCGTGGTGTGTGTGTGTCGTCTGCTGCTGTGTGTCGTGTGTGTGTTGGTGTGTGTGTGTGTGTGTGCGTGTGTGTGTGTTGTGTTGGTCGTGTGTGTCGTCTGCGTGTGTGGTTTCTCTTCGACACATAATCCTGGCTGACTCACTATCTGCAAGATCACATGACATTGATCGTCTTGCATTCGGTGAGATCTGCAAAGCTCCGGGTTGACCTTCATCTAGCAGCAAAATATATAGTGTAATCTCTGCATATATTAGTTAACACTCATATCTCATCCACCTATCTATAATCTCTCTCTCGTATCTACTCATCTATCTTTACTATATCATCTCAATATCACGTCCTATTCTATTCTCCTCTTATCTTTCATAACTAAATTATTTATTTATATTATATTTATTATTATTATTATCACTACATCATATGCCCATGCATATCAATCTTACTTTATCATTAATATTATAATATATAAAAATAATCAGCATAATCAAAATAAAGATTATATAAATATATAAATTTCACTTAGAATAAATAAGAAGTTATATGACCAGAATAAAAAGACACGAAGAAAAATAATATATAACTTTATTAAGGGGGTACCAAGTTTATAACTAGCTAAGTATAACGGGTGAGGGGAGGGGTGAGGTAGTTAAGGTGAGTAGAAGAAGTAGGAAGGAGAGGAGGAGGAAGTGAGTAGGAGAAATGGTAAAGAGGAGAGGTAGAGGAAAAGAGGGAGTGAAGAGAGTAGTAAGAAAAAGGAAAGATATAAGGGAAGGAAAGGAGGGAAGTGAGGGGAGGATGAAAGAGGGACTTAGTGATGAAGTAGAGGTAGAAAGGGAGAGGAAGATAAAGGAGGAGGGAGGCACAAGAAAGTAAGAGATGATGAGAGGATGTAAGAGTAAATAAGCTGAGAAGGATTAAGAGAAGGACGGGAAGCGAGTGAGGAGTAGTAAAGGTAGATAGGTTAAGAAAGGGGAGGTAGAAGTGAAGTAGAATACGAGGAGGGAGTGAGAGGAAGGCGAAGCGAGGGGATCAGAGGAGTAGAGGATGAGGGAAAGCATGATAGTCAGAAGAAGGTAGTATAGAAGTAAAGATAATGTGAAAGTGAGTAATGGGGAAGGAGGTAAGTAAGTGAGGGGATGTAAGGGGGGGGGGGTGACAATTATATTGAGACTGTAATATGCCAATAAGAATAAGAGATAAGTGAGTACATAATGCATAAAAATAAGATACCTTAAGAGTATAAATAAAGTGAAAGGGGAGGTAAGTAGGAGGAGAGAGAGACGAGGAGGAGGGATAAGAGAGAGAAGAGAATGGTAAGGAGAATAGGACCAAGGTCAGTAGTAGAAAGATAGGGAAATTGATAAATGTTGAAATATAAATAAATAAAATGATAGGGGAATGGGAAAGGAGAAGATAAGAGGGAGGGAGCGAGGAAATAAAAGAGATAAACTGAAGGTAACAAATGAGAGTAAAGAAAGTGTAAGAGCGAAAGTGCAACAAGAAAAGAATAAATAACGAAACATACAATAGTAAATATCAGAGAGGGACAAGCATGAGAGTACAAAAGAGTGAAAGCCAAGAACATAAATAACAATGAGAATAGCATGAACATGATATAAATAGAGAAATAATAACATAAGCGGAGAAATAGATATAAACACATAATAAACACATAATAAATGATATAGAAAGTGAGGATAGGAAAGGACAATAGAAAAGTAGAAATAATACGATACATATAAATAGAAGAAGAGAAGAAAGTAAAGTAAGAAAAGTCAGAGAAAATATAAAGATAGAATCTAAAGAAATACAGAAGAAGAAAACAGAGAGAGACATAAGTATAAAACAGAAACAGTAGAGAGGAAAGAAAGGAAAGGTAATTTAAAGGAAAAGAAAAATATAAATATAAGGAGGAGAGAGTATAATTAAAAGGAAAGCCACAAACAGCAACCAGCAACACAGGCCAGCGAAAGAAGGGAGCAGCAGAGGTATGATAAGGATGATATATAGGAATAGAGTGTAGGGTATAGAAGTATAGGGGGAAAAGAAGGTGGAAATAAGTGGAAGCTCACAGAATGATACATAGGAAGATATAGAGTGACATAAAAATACTGAAGAAAATGGCAGACCTAAGTATAAAGAGCATGATAAATAAGAACTAATATGAATCAATGAAATGAAAGTAGAATAATTTTAGGCCTATTATAATTATCCTCACATTTCAAGTATCTTTTCTTTTACTACTATCTTTCCATATCATATTCTAATCACCATTTATATAAAATCTGTCTATTCTATTCCTTTCCAATTATTAATAGTGTCTCTCCATACCATTATCATACATATAACTTCACATATTTACTTCCATGATCTTATTTAACTATAGTATTTCTTATATACGTATCATTATTATATCATTATCTATGTATCTATATCTATCTTAATTTTGTCTAAAATATATCACTTTTAATAATTTATAATACTTTACTGTTTTCATTTCTGTCTTCTTATATTAATCTTATCTATATTCTTTTATTCTTAGATACTCTTTTTTCTGATCTTTGTTTTAATTATCTTTTCTATTCATTTTTCCTTTCTACTCACTATTTATCGTTTTTCTACATTTAAAATAATTATATTATTAAGATATGTTCGTAATTCGATAAATGTATAGTGTTTCTATTATCGAGAATAGTACTTAAGTTAGTTAATCATTGAGAATAATACCTGTGTCTTACTTTTAATACCTACATATAAGATTTGAGGTACGCTCTATCGAATATGTGTCAATAAAAATAATATCACACTGTATGTATACAGCCCTCATGCTAATAATATAATCTGTTATTCTCATGTATTACTATTATTCGTTAATACAATTCCTAAATTTCTTGTACTCAATCTTTCTTCATTATATGATACTAACGTATATATCACTTTTAGTTCTTATCTCAATTTATATTCTTTTCATCTATTCTCATCTTCTCATCTACCCCATCCAGTATTTGTATGTTGTAGTGTCTGGGTGTTGTGTGTTGTGTGTGTTGTGTGGTGTGTCTGTGTGTTGCGTCGTTGTCGTCTTCTCTGTCTGCTGTGTCTCTGTGTGCTCGCTGCCCATATATCTATCTAATACTATCATTCATCTTATTAATAATGTTCTTACTAGTCTCATATACGTATATATTTATTACACTTACATCTTATACTATTGTGTTGTGTTGTGTGATTATAATTAATATTATATATATTACTATATATAACTATATATATAGTATAATAATATATTTGTGTGTGGGTGTGTGTGTGTGGCTGGTGTGTCGTGTGCTCGTTGGTGGTGTGTGGTGTTGTGTGTGGTGTGTGTGTTGTTCGTGTGTGTAATATATAATAACTATATAATAACCCTTACCTATTAAATTATATATATCTTATAATGTGTGTGTGTTGTGTATGTATACTATATAATAATATACATATATATATATATATATATATATATAATATATATATATTATATAATATATATATATATATATATAATATATATTATATATATATGTATAGTGTGTGTTATGTATATATATATATAGTATTAATTATTATTAATTAATATATATATATATATATATAATATATATATATATGTATTATAAATAATATTATTAATATAATTATATTGTGATGTGTATATATAATTATTAATATGTATATATATATATATATATATATATAATTGTGTGTATATATTATATATATTATATATATAATATATATATATATATATATATATATATATATATAATATATATATATATTATATATGTATGTATGTGTATATGTATATGTATATGTAATGTATTATGTATTAATATTTATGTATGTATATATTATATAATGTATGTTATATATATATATATATATATATATAATATATAATATATATATATAAATATATATAATAATTGTGTGTATATGTATGTATATATATATGTATGTATGTATTATTATTATATATGTATGTATGTATATATATTATAGTATGTGTGTGCTATATATATTATATATTTATGTGGTATATGTGTGTGTATATGTGTGTGTGTGTGTGTGTGTGTGTGTGTGTGTGTGTGTGTGTGTGTATATGTATATTGTATATATGTATATATATATATATATATATATATATATTATATATATTATATAATATATATATATATATATATATATATTATATTATACATACATACATACATACATACATACATACATACATACATACATACATACATACATATATACATACATATACATACATATACATGTATACATTTTTAGCATTTCTTTTTGTTTGGTTTAAGGATTTTGTACATTATGATTTTTATAGGGTGTTGAGAAATACTAGTCAAAGGATTTTCAGAATTTATTATTTTGTTACAGTGTCTAAAGAAAAAAAAATCAAAAGATTACATAGCTGACTTCAGTCAATATTAGGATTTTTTCATAATTGGAAATGCATTTAGTAAATACTTGGAACTATCTTGAGCTAAAGAATACCTTAGAGTAATACCAGCAACATAGAGTAAGTATGCACTGCCTACCAGAATTTTTACCATCCTATAATTTTGGTACTTGTTTGATATATATGATTACATTTGCATCACTTAAATAGCATGGATTAGATGAGTGTGATATTATTAGAAAATCACTGAATGGTGGAAACATCATTTCAGACTAGCTGCATAGCCTGCTTTTAGTATTATGATTACTGGAGCTGTGTATAAAGAGAGCAAAGCATGCACACAACAGTCAACCAGTTTGGAAGGATAATCTCTTTCTGTTTGTTTATTTGCGAAAGACAGTGTTTTGGGCATATTGATACTTTTACTTGACACCTTAATTACAAGACATTTTTGAATTCACTGTTTGAAGTATTGCTTATACCTCTCCTCCTCTTCTGAACAGTGAGTCACAAATTCGGCTATGGTTTGATGGATGCCGGCAAACTGGTGGAGCTAGCAGAAAAATGGACGACAGTTCCCCCTCAGCATGTGTGTCAGAGCGTGAAGGATAGGACTAAGCAGTAAGTGGCTTGTTTCATTGGTTGAAAAATTATTACTTGTTACAATAATAATGGGGATGTGAACATGTTCATTCATACAATTGTCTCTAGATTTTGTGTGGTTTTATGTTGTCTTGTCTTATGTAAAAAAGATATGAATGAGAATGAATATCTCACAATACAAGAGATAAATTTGACTGGTTTAGAATATATCTTCATCAGAAGTACTTGTCCTGTGAAGATATTCATTTTCATTCATACCTGTTTTATATTTGTCAACATGAATACTATTTATATTCCTTTGTTATATTTGCATTTGATAATAAGATAATAGGAGTCACAACAAATATCTGATATATTTTCATTATTGTTAATGTCTTCTACTATACTTGTGTGTATCATGTGTTTGTCATCCAAATATCCATATATTCCCATATCTGCAGGACAATACCAACTATTACGGGAGAGTCTGTGGTTGCTGAAATCACTACAGATGGATGTGCTGGAACTTCAGCTGAAGTGCGGTACTTGGAGCATGTGCAAGCAAGAGTCTCCTTGCGGTTCTTGCCCAGAGGAAATATCAATATTAGGCTTGTTTCTCCCTCAGGTAAATTTTTTATACTTTTGGATGCACATCTGATGTGAAGCACTGAATGTTTTTTTTCTCTCTGTCTTTTCATATTTCTAGATGATTATGGGTGATTAGTATTGATCTTTCTTATTCTAACCAAGACATTTTAAAATCCAATTATCTTTTTTGCTTATATATATATTTACAAAATGTATGTCTACCAGTATGTACTACTTTCCCTTCATTCATATATCAGTAAGTTATATGGGAATTTGCATTGGAGTTTCCTCATTGACCGAATTTCAACAGGGACAACATCCACACTTCTCTTTGAGAGACCTCGAGATGTGTACTCAGAGAAGTTTGATGACTGGCCCTTCTTGTCTGTCCACTTCTGGGGAGAGAAAGCAGCTGGAACTTGGAGGCTTATTGTGACCAATGCTGGGACAAGACAGGTTCATCACCCAGGTCAGTGTCTTGTTCTCTTTTCCTTTAGCAGTAAAGAAAATTGTTGTGCATTTTCTGTGATGAAAAAGATAAATAGGTAAGAATACTCACAATATTGTACCAGTTGTTTCCCTATTATTATTTTCTTGTTTTTTGTCTGTTGTGGCAGGTGTCTTGACTCAATGGCAGCTCATCCTTCATGGCACGAGGGAGCCACCTGGCCGCCTTCGCTCCGAGCAACCCCAGGGGTCAGATTCCTTTTCCTTCCCCCAGGCCCGTCCCACCCAGTCCTCCTCAGCACCCCTCTTCCCCTCTCGAAGACCCTCTCACAGTCCTTTGACCATCAGGTATTTGCAAGAACCTTCTGGTGGTCACATATCAGATAGTAGGATTGTCCTTAAGGGAAAATTAAGTAGCTAGTTGGTAGACTTTTTGTAGGATTTCCTTTTGCTGGACCATGTTTGTTACCTCTTATTCTGAATATTGCCCACTTGAAGATCACTTAATTCCTTGTCCCTTAACAATCATCCTTGTAGGACACAACATTTGTTGGACTGAACCTTGACTTTCCCTTGGCATCAGTTTTCTTAATAGTGGGAGTAAGGGCAGATGTTCTAACTCCGGTGTGGTTATTGAAAACAATAATTCGCAACTGTAAAGATAGATAATAGGTATTGTATATTTTTAGTATATTTCTGTTGCCACATTTGTAAAACTATTTTTTCTGTCAACAGTATTTTAGACCAGATCCTCGCAGGGTCAACCCCAGATGCCACATATGCCACAGCTGATGGGAAAATTATACCTGGGCCAAACCACGTGCCTGCAGCCGAGAATAGCGACAATGTGGATAATAAGTTTTTCGAGTCAGAGGTGTGCCACAGCCAGTGTCTTGGGGGCTGCTCTGGGCCAGGACCTGATAAGTGTAAAGCCTGTCATCATTATAGTCTTGAAGGGTAAGAGAACTATTGTTCATCTGAGTTATATATTATCTGATACATTTTGTTCAGGTTAAAGAGGTGCATTAGATAACATAGCCTCATCACAATAGAAGTATTGGAGTTGTAAAGATGATCAGAAAGGAAAAAGTACAGATTTCCATAATGGCTACTCATACCTCAACAAACTCTCTCTCTGCTCTTCTAAATTCACTTTTAACACATCTCCAGTGAATGTGTAGGGAGTTGTCCTGAAGGAACCTATGGGTCAGAGGACAGGGAGTGTCTGGGTTGCGATTCATCCTGTGCTCTGTGCAGTGGGCCAGCTCAAAACCAGTGCGTAGCTTGTCATCCTAGTATGCTATATGTTCTCCATCTTGGGATCTGTGTTGAAACTTGCCCAGAGGGATACTATCCAGGTAAGTGTATTATGATTATGCATCTTTTATTTTGTTATGGTTATTTTATATTTTTCCACAATACTTGAATTATACACATTTTTGTCTTACTATATTTAATCTTATATTAGATTCCATTTGTAAATGTTAAGCATGGACAGAAGAATATGTATTGTTTTTTAGTAATCTTTTTTTTTTTTTTTTTTTCAGTGAATGGAACATGTGTAAACTGTGGAGGTCATTGCACAGAGTGTACTGGTCTAGGACAGTGTAACAGATGTAGTCATAATCTCTTGCTTAGCAATGGGACCTGCACAACAAGATGTCCTGATGGTTACTTTGAGACCGACAATAATTCGTAAGTTGTAGTACAATGTTTGACACATATTTTTTCTCTATATCACAGAATGAGGAGGGTATACATTCAACCCAAGTTGAAATATGCTAAGTGAGAAATGCATTTGTTTACACTTAATAGACTAACCTTCATAATATGTCAAGCCTATATTAAACTTCCCATTTTATCGTAAAGTGTTAAAATATCTTGTGCTATTTATTGAATACTGTTCTGAAAGTGAAACCAGACCAGTTGCATGGGTACTTGCCACTAATGAGATATTATCACTAGCTCAGAAAGGATCAAAAATCAAAATCTAAAGTACAGTTTCCACTGAGTACTCACCACTTTCACATTATCATAAGTTAGGAGCTAGCTGTATTTCATGTATTTAGTGGAAATCATAAATACTAATGATATACTGTTGTCTGTTGCAGATGTGGATCTTGTTATCCACAGTGTCTGACTTGTGTTGGAGGTACCAATGCAGATTGCGCTGCCTGTAGACCTAACTCTTTCCTTCATCGTGGGAAGTGCGTCTATCGTTGTCCTAAAGGTAATGTGACAAGAGGCATTTTTTTAGAACTCTCAATTATCTTTGTATTAGGTCAGTTTACTTCTAAAAGTTATGTCTTATATAAAAAAGTATATCCCTTTTAAAGGTTATAATAGGGATTGTACATTCAGAATAAGCAGTAAAGTCATTAATATTAAGGAGTCTATTACTGTAAAACCTTCATGGTTTATGTTGCTTGTTGCAGGAACATACGGTGATGTAGCAACACAAGAATGCCTGCCATGCCCCTCTGGCTGTGCCAGTTGTACCAGCGACTCCTGCACCTCTTGCATTGAGGGCTGGAGGACCAAGTCTGGTCGTTGTGTTGCTCGATCCAACCATTGTCACCTCAGTAAGTCACCAAGAAAATTGCCTTGATTGTATAATCACTTTATTGTAAATTTTTTGTTACTAGGACTGCTATAAAAAATATTATAATGCAAATATTGTGTATGTGCTTGTTATGTGACCATATAGCTTTTCTATTTGAAGAGTCGTGTTGTCACATGTGTCTTAATATGAACAGGTGTAAATTCCATTCAACAAAAAATTATATATTTTTAGTTTTATTTGATTTTTCTTATTCTTCTTGAAATCTCAGGTCCTGAGTATAACAATGTTAAATTATTCCTACACCCAGATGAGTATGCCAGCCCATCTGGTGCATGTGAGGCATGCCATTCATCATGCCTGGCCTGCATTGGCACCAGGGAGGACCAGTGCCTACATTGCGCACAACAACGGTTCCTGATGAATTCCCAGTGTGTCCAGACCTGTCCCAGCGGTTTCTTTGCCCAGCGTGGCCGGTGTTTGCCCTGTGCTCACGGCTGTGAGACCTGTTCCTCATATTCGTCATGCTCCTCATGTTCACCACGGTTCTACCTGCATGTGGATCAGTGTGCTGCCCTGATGGGTGAGTGTGAGAGGAGGTGGAAAAGCATAAAAGCTTTGCTTTTGTGCTTTTTTGAAATTTGTTAGGCTGATCAATATGCTGATTATGATATATTTTTTAAAAATTCCCGGCTTTCCTTTACTCACTTTGTGATAGGTGGAATAATTTAAACAATCTCTAACAGCCATGTTTTATATCCATTTTAGAACATACAGTGACAGGGGAGTTTGCTCTTCATGTGATGCCTCCTGTAAAACGTGTTATGGGCCCAGGGTCGACCAGTGTGCATCGTGCCAGAATGGATCCTTCTTGCTTGATGGCACTTGTCACCAGACCTGTCCAGAATCCCATTATCCTCAAGAGAGTGAATGTCTCCCATGTTACCACAACTGTAAGACATGCAGAGGTGAGTTCTCAGATTGGGAGTCATAGGGCAATTTATGATTTTTTTGTTTTTGTTAAGTTCATGGCATTGTTATTATTTTGTTCAATTCTTGCTTTGTTGTTATACATATTTTTAAAGCTATTTTTGTTTTTCTTGTCTTCTTGGTTTTGCCTCTTTGGTTGAAGGCCTGTGCTTTTTATGTCTTCTTCATACAGGCTCGGGTCTAAACGACTGCACCTCCTGCCGTGACTACCTCACCCTTGATGGCGGTATGTGCATTGAGTGCCGCTCAGGCAGATACTATAACCTCTCCTCTCAGAGGTGTGAGGCATGCAATCCATCCTGCTTGACCTGCTCATCAGGAGGGGAGAGCAGCTGCACCTCCTGCCAGTCACCCAAGTCCCTGCACACAGCCTCAGGCACCTGCCGCATCTGCTGTCCACCAGGCATCTTCGAAGAGGAACATAGCTCCTGCTGCTCTTGTGATCCCTCAACAGGTTTGTTGAAATACAGGCTTGAGCTGAAGGCCACAAGAGATGCTCAATGTTACATTTACTAAATGTAAATACATTTCTGAGGATGCTTATTGTAAGGCCTGCCTGCATTGTCATCTTAGTGGTTAATTAGTTTATTTTATTTAATCAGTTTTTTTGTGTGAGTTTTTTGAGTTTAGTTTGAATATAGTAAACATTGATTTTTAGTAGTATGTTAAAACACATGTTTTTCCATTCAAATATATATACTTTTATTTCACAGTTTCTTAATTTTACTTCTGATATATACTGCCCAAAATATTATAATGAAGTATAAAAACAACTAGATGAAGATGTAGATCCTTAATTGTGTAGTTCAGGTTGAATTTTATATATAAGAGGATGAAGAAAAGCAAAGCTACTCTTTAAGTTATCTTTTGTTATTTCCCATTTCATGCCTAGACTCATAACCATATTCACGCAATCACATATTGCTTTTCTTGTACTGATGTCATTAACATGATATATGGAGTAGACTTTATGACTCATTATTATCACAAAATTCTCTTCTTTGACAGCCCAATGTTATGGAGCAGTGTCTGCAGACAAGAGAAGAATTGCCTTAAGTTTAAAGACTGGTCTCCATCAATCTCCTCCTGTTGAGACATACTTCTCCTCTGTCACATATTTAGTAGTTGTTATTTGTTCTGTGAATTTGTTGATATTTGGTGCTGTTTTCACTGTGCTTCAGGTGAGTGGATTTTTTTTTTTTTTTTTTTTTTTAGGGATCTAGAATGTGTGATGATATGATCAGAGGGTAACAAAATAGATTATTCAGAACACTACATGAGAACTGATGATGTATATGAAAATATCCTATTCCTGCAGATATGATATAACTATTACCAGAACCAAAAATGGTTGGTTATGTTGTTATTAATTTTTACATTGATTTCCCTCTACTTCTTGCAGGCCAGATCAACAGGCTCCCTTTGTTGGAGAAGTGATTATGACTACAGTGCCCTCAAGAATGGGAGTATGTCTGAACGTGTTTCGCTCACTCTTACCCCATACACAGAGGATGACTCAGAGGATGAGAGAGAGAATGAACTACTCTACATGAAAACTTAAGGTGGCCTTTCTTTAGAGGAGAGAGTAAACTATGGTGCAAAATGAGACAGAAAGAAAAATTGTTTGCAAGGAGAATTGCTTTTCGGGAATATGCTCAGAACCAGCAACAAAGTGAGGTTACTGGTAGTCTCAGCTCATAGTTAGAGAAATACTTAATTGATCCTCAGGTCAAAGTTCGTGGAAGAGTGGGAGAAGCAGAAGTAATGCATAGGTCTTGAATGCAAGATGTTTTATTTATTATGTGTCATATCATCTTTTTTTATTGAAAATATTTTTTTTATATGCGTAAATATATAGGGAAATAATTGTAGAGGTATTGGGGCGCCATGACTTTAAAGAAAACAATTTTGTGTAATGATGTATTGGTACAGCAAAGAAAAAAAGAAAATTGGAAATGGCATATAAAAATGATGGCAAACATATCACACAAAGAAATTTATTTATGGTTATAGCTTTTAATACTTGAATATTTAAATGCTGAGGTAAGCTTGTTGCTCATTTCAAACAGTCTAATAGTCAAAGAAAAAAAAAAAGAGGATTTATAGTCATATATTTTACTTTATTGTTTACCCTTAAAAAATGTACCTTTTCTCCCAGATGGTTTATTAATTCTCTTATGTATAGTACCTCTCAAAATGTTCTAGCTGCACCTTATAGTAGGAGAAAAGAAGGAAAAAAAGCAGGAAAATAAAAGACATTACAGTATGTGAAACATGAGGGAATTGTGTGTTAGTATTTCTAATAGTAATGTGCAAAGTTTTGGAAGAGATTTAGAGCAAGTGTGAATGTATCATTCATCTCTTTTTTTGTGTGTTTTTTAAATGTTTCGACTTGAAGAATTTTGATGTAAAAATGCTTTTTCTTTCTTCTTTTTTCAGTGTACGTGTGGCCTAATCGCAAGTCATTTAAAGAATTAAAGAAAAATATTTCCTTTTTTTATAAGAAAGTACAGTATACAGAGTAAAGTTTACCTCAGAATAATAAGAATATTTAGTCAATGACTGGAGAATGTCACCCAACCTCAAAACTTAATTGTAGATTACCATTGATTATGGTTGGACCACATTATTATTGTTAGTATTACTAATACTAATGAAAACGTTTTATAGCTCTAATTTTTATATTTTATATTGTGTTATCTTGAGTTAGAGTATTGGGTATTATGTTTTATGTATATCCAGTACATTAAAAAAGGAAACAAATCAGTGTGTATAGATATGAAGTTGCCGATAGACATATTTTATAAGTGAATTTCTTTCCCCCCTTTTTGATATTGGAATGAAGTATGGTGCTGTTGCAATGCTAAATACTTACTGATGTGATAAAATATTGGGCATAAGTGTGCCACATAATTTCTATTTGAAAATTAAGGACCACATCTTCAAACTCACACAGACTTACCCTTTCATTCTGGTCAGACATTGGTGTTTATGAAAACATTAATGCAGCTCTATACCGATGACACAAGGAGGGCCCAGTCTAGTCAGAGTGACATACCCACAAATGTGACAGCTCTGATGAGAAACTTTGTCCACAGGTATTTCACGTACATCGTTTCAGTAAAGGTCAACGAAATACTTAAGAAAAATGTTCTTTTTAAGTGAGTATCACTTTATACCAACAAAGGTCTACACTACTTCTGTTATGTGTAGTGCTAATAGCCTGATCTTCAAAGCAAGCAGTGATAAGATATTGAAAATGCTGCTCTGATACTCTAGAATGTGATGTTTGTAAAAAAATAATAATTATAAAAAGAGAGCAACTCTTGTGATCCCGATATATTTCTGCTTTTAGATTAAGGTATTTCTTCTTGAGATAGGGAGGGTGTGTCAGTGGTTCAAAGGCGGTTCAATGATGTTCCAAAATATTATGAACGAGACAAGCCAAAACAAATCTTTATTTAATCTGGTTATAAAACAAAATAATTAAATGAAATCCTTGTTAAGATATGCATTAGAACCCGTAAAAAGAAAAAATCCCTTTTTTCCATAAGAATGTTCAGCTTTTTTTTTTTTTTTTTTTTTTTTTTTTTTTTTTTTTTTCTTTTTTTTTTTTTTCTCTCTCTCCATTAAAGTCTTAACCAAGGTTGTCAGTATCTATATGGAAAATAACCCTGCTCTGATAAGTTATTCTCTCAGGAAAAGCAGACGATTTTTAGTCATTCACAGAGAGGAGTCAGTAAAGTGCTCAATCAAGGGGTCACAAAGATACATTGAGTTTGATGATTGTGGTGCCATAAATTATATAAAATATACTTCATAATGTCACAAACAAGGACATAATGCCTTGTGATAGGGTGGCCTTAATGAATAAATGTAGTTAGTCTTTTTATATTGCCCATGTTATTGATTATGTCCATGTAATAGCCATATTACCCTGTAAATGAGTTATGTTCCCTCTTCAATCTGATTAAAACTAATAATTTTGTTGAGATATTTTGTGAAATGTCTTCCCCATTCTTTCATTTTGAAAAAACAAAAATATTGTGATAATGCTAGCCAATCTCATTTTTCAGATTTTCCCCAAGAAAAGAAAACAAGTTAAAAAAAAAATATTTGGAACTGGTAAATCATAATCCTTGTCATAGTGGTTGAAATCCTTGAAAACAATAATTTGAAACAGTTACATGTAAAGAATATGTGGTTTCACAAAAGTTTAAATTGCAGCAACATAAGTTTAGACTTTGAAGCATTTAGTGTAAACTCCACATTGGCTGTCAAAGGTGCAAGCCAATTCTTTTTGTACAATGCAGAAAGGTTGAACTGTCACTATGTCAAGATTATGTGCTATATTTTATCCCTTTTTTATTTTTCATTTTTTTTCAAAATTATCATTATTATTCCTTTGTGCAGTGTGCAATACTCACATTTTGTAAATTTAGTAATCTTATGAGATTTTCAGTGATATGGTAAATATTGTACATTATGCATGCATAGTGAATGTGAAAAAATATGTAAAAATATATGTGTCATTTAGGATTACTTCATTGAAAGCAAAAATGTGAAAATATTGAGTGAGTCCAACAAAGAAGTCCCTATGTAAGTGATTCTAATACAACACAGTATTTTATTGGTATATGTTAACCATCTTTAAAGGTCGTCCATTGTTACTATCATGTTTGTAAACATTCTGATGATTACAGGCTATCCGTCGCTAATGAATCATAGAGAAAAGAGCATATCACTTTTTTCCAGGTCCCAGACACATTCTGTCATGTTAGCCCAACACATGTGATTCAAAGCAGCTTGGGAAACCTTTAAGCTATGATGAATAATATTGAAGGTTTGCATTTTGACTTAGTTAACTAGTCATTACTGTCAGAATAACTAATGCCAGAGACAGCTGTAGGTGTACATCCTTAATATGCTGTTTGTTCTTACATTACTTGAAATGTTTTTAGCTTTTTGTATAAAAATAGATTAATAGGATGAAATGTGACCATAAAAATAAGCATATGAGTAAAGTAATTTTTGGGGATGATTTTTCACTTGTAACTACAATGAATCTATCATTTGAAATTTATTGACTTGATCATTTCTTCTTTTTTTATTAATAAAAAAAGAATCCGCACTAACATCTTATATCATATTTAAGTAAGGCTTTGATAAGGAGTTTATTTAATAGTGAATGACCTGCAGATAAGCAGTCACATATCGAAAAGTAGTTGCAAGTCTCACTTGTGACTTACCACTACACGCTCTACTATATTTATTTATAGGTGATGAGGGCATTGTCATGCAAATCATGTTGAAGTATTTTGCCATTTTGTGCACAACCTAAGGAAGAGGGACACTATCAGCCCCGTATTTAGAAGATGGCTGCATTCAATGGTAAAGAAGTCTGAAACTTCAAGGCAGACTGAAACTCAAACAGAAGTTACTAAATTGAAGATCTAGAAGATTTTTGTGAGATTATATTAGCATGTATATTATTTATCCCAGAAATATTGAGGTAAAATAATGGCACAAATAACCTTTGGGTTAAACTTGAACGGAAAGTTGTCTTACAGGCTGCCCAGAGAAGGTTACTTGTAAATCAAGATTGATTTTATAAATGTAATTGACAGTAGTTTCTCCATTTGCCAAATAAATGCAAAGGCATTTTTTATTTCAACAATAGGAAACATCAAGTCCTTTCAGTCTTATCTTTTCCAACAAACAAGAATAGGATTTCTAGCTGAAGTCTAAAACAATAAGAGCAGTTTCTCTGTGAATAAGAAAAATGAAGTAAATTATGAAAATGGATAAGTAGATACTAAATAAGAGTTCATAATACAAGTATAGGTATTTCTTACTGAGGTTAGATTTCATAACCTAGTACCTGCTAGGGTCATTGGTATCCAAAGTTAATGGAGAATAGTCATCAAAGACGGTCAATGAATTAATATCATTGATATCATAATTTAGGGAATATTTTGTAATTTTACTGACTTATAAGAAAGCAACACTATTATTTTGTATTATATAGTAACAAAATTGACAAGCAGTTTATGAGAAAGAACACTTGTAATGTTGTGATTTCACAGATGAAAACTAAAGTTTTCTGTGACTAGCATCTCAATGGCAAGAAGTTGTGCAGTAAATTGATTATCACTGTTTCATTATTATTTCTTTTTAGATTATTGGTAATACATGACATTGTCACCCTCCAATGTTTATATGGATTTCCTTGTAAACTCCAGCCCACCAATCTTTTGTTTGTAATGTGTTATGTCAACTTTTTTATTTGAACATTTTACAAAATATTAGGAAGGTTGTTTCTATATACATTAATATCCATATTTTCACCTTAAATGTGCTTTGTGCAAGAAGCAAGAAATAATGTGCGATTATCATGGAGTGTATGATGTGCTCTAGTTGAAAGTTATAAACATACATAACAGTAGTAAAGCCAGTAGCATCATTAGGGAAACAAGACTTTGAATACCTAGGTGGGATGCAGTTGCTTAACATTTTATTAAACATATAATCATTAGAGGACAAAGCAGACCTGGTCAGTGGAACAGACAATGAATGTATTATTATTATTATTATTATCATATATTTATTTTTATAAAATAATTTACTATTTTCATAATTGTATTTATCACTAATGTTATAAAGTTTATGCAAAACTGCATGTATTATTCTATGGATTTTTCTATCCCCTATTTTAGTCATTTTTTATTATTGTTACAATTATCATTACTAGTGTTATGCCCTTTTTTAATGTTTGAATGAAAGGCTTGAATAATGGCTGGTGATAATCTATAGTGATTACCATTAGCCAAGGGGCAGTATTATAACTACAGTTTCAACTTCTTGTTCACAATGCCACTGTGTGATGACAGTGAATGTTATAGTAACAATATACACTGTACATATCTTAGGAGTATATATTTAATAAAAGTGTTATACATTGCAAGACTTTGTTGTTGTTTTCTTCTGCCACATAATATATAGAATATTTGTCACTGACAGGTGGATCTACCCGAGCCAAAGCTAAATGGAAAGATGACAAAGGTAACAGATCTGACATTTTTTGGGGGGGAAATTAAACAAAACCACAGAAAATATATCTTCCAAAAAAAGTGGAAGCAAGAGGTACCTCTGATATCATATAGAGGGTAATATGAATTCTTCAGCAGTGTATCTTTACCAGTTGTTTGTATTTTAGTCGCTGGTGTATCTGGTAGTTGGTGTAGGTATCTTTGACTAAGGCATACACACATATGCATGCGTACACAAACAGTAAAATTGAAGTTAATTCCATTTTGCTGAGATTTGTAGAATTTAATATTTTATTCCTATATTTTCAGCTCTCCAGATAAAGCAATCAACAGAAGAATGACTGAAAAGAAATTTTTTAGCAGTGTTTACCTATGCTCACTTGCACTCTCTTAGTATCTCAAGGAATGATAATCTAATCATCGTAGAGGTTAAGTTCAGAGTAAAAGGTAAAGCACTCAATTATGCATAATGAATGATGGAGAGAAAGTGAGATGATGATGATGATGATGATAAAAAAGTATAAATAAATTACTTTCACAAAAATGTACAGAAGCCACATAGTATTTTGTTTAAAAAGATATCAAAGCAACAGGTATATAGTACTACCAGTAATTGTACATAGAAGCAACTTTAGAAGGTAAAATCCATTATATTTTGGGCAAATAAATAATATGAGTATAAATATATAAATTTTGCTATAACAATATTTGTAGTAAAATTAACTCTTGCTGTGGAGAAAGAACATCAGAACAGTGTATGTATAAAAAGTTTCATGGTGTTACTTGTTTCCTTCCTTCTTCATGTCTTGCAGAATTAATCACCTTTGATGATTGTAGACATATTTTTTCTTACAGTAAATTTGTATAAAACATTTTGAGCAGTACCATTGGTAAATGTACAAAAAAAATGTATTGTGGTTCTTCATGAATAGCTGTGGGTTATTTGGCATGTTTATGTAAATAATGATTTAAATACTGGTTGGTTTGGGCTAGGGCTGGTAGAGCAGAATAGTAGATGTACAAAAAACACATAATTCTGGAAAAAAATGTGCTGAAAACAAATTCTTTTTGAATTCAATATCATAGATATTGCCCATATAATGCCTGGTTCAAGATATAATATTGTGCATATTTCTCAAATAACTAAATGTGCATGTGTGTTTGTGTCATGGAAAAGTCCACTAAAGGAAAGGGAATTATGTTTTTGCAAAGTATGGGATAATTATAACCAATAGAGAAAATGAGAGAAAGAGAGAGAGTAGGATATCACACTCACTTTATGATAGTCTAAATAACCCTTTGGAAGGAAAAAAAAAGACAATTATTATGCAAAATGAACGTTAACTCCTTTATACAACATATTACAAATACACTAAACATACAAACAAGGTGATACCAACACCATTTACATATTTTTTTCACTTCACAAAAAACACTGGGGGATCAATAGAACTTCATGACCCAATTGGGAGTTGCTGGTGATGTGTGGCACTTTGCAGCAGCGGACATTAAAAACGCGATGAACTGAGGAAATGTATATAACATGACATCCTGACTAGTTTGGAGCGTGACTGAGTGGGAAGAAGGGATAGGGGGTACAGGCTATTTATTTTTTTTAATACTTTTTTATCACTATTAGTATTATCATCAGTTTGGCTTCTACTTCTCCATCTTCTTCTAGTTTATCAAAAATAATAAAAAACATAATAAAATAAATAGAGAAAAAGAAAAAAATAGAAAAACAGAAAAAGAAAGAGGAAAATATCTTGAGAGATGCTACATCAAATTTCTCATTTACTGATTCAATTATCCTCAAATTACCCATCATCAGTATATCTCTACCCTAAGGATTCAGTCGGCTGAGAAGAACCCCTCGTCACAGCTTCCACCTACACATCATGTCCTGAGATACTGATTTTGCATTATTGTTACTGTGATAAACCATCATTAAAAAAAAATTACAATAAGAAATCATAATGGTAATCTTGAAAAACAAGTGTATCATTTCAAATTTCCACAGAAAGATATTGAAAAGGGTGCTCAAAATGGGCACTCAGTTATATAATGCTGCTGCCGCAAATTTATCATTGTACAACACAAAATTAGAATAAAAAAAGGAAAAGTACAGGAGAATTTTTCTAATTATCAAAACAGTCTTAAAGAATTACTAAAAATTACTAATTCCCTTTACACAAAAAAAGGAAATTTATATAACTGTAAATCACTTACAAAAAAAGAAAAAAAAGAAAAAGAAAAAAGGCCACTTGTATTCTACTTGAAATTTGCCTAATATGAATCTGCTAAGGAGTGGTTGAATAAAATAAATATATTACAGATTTTCAACAACTAATAACATATGAGTACAAGAGAGTGAGCAGTAAAAATGTTTACAAGTCTCCTAAATAAAAACCAACTTTCAGATGTTAATTAGATGGTACCAGTTTTTCATTGGACTATGAAAAAAGACATTCTTAACCAGTGAAATCGGCTAAAATATCTATATCATCATCATTTGAATAGTTCACAATTACTGTTCTACGATACAGCAAAGGGACAAGGGGGTGAGTGTAATAAAAATAGTGTTATAATCCTCACTCTTTCCTTCTGCACCGGGCAGAAAGAATGGCACTTCAAGCACAAGGAATCACATTTCATTTCATTTCTCTTTTGTGAGGGGAAATCCAACTACCAGAGCTGTTTACTCCACTTGGACAGGGTTAGGAAAATCACCAGGTTTATATGATAAATATAATTTATTTACCAACTTTTTTTTCTTTTTTTTTTGTGCTTTACTGTAAGGAACTCAGCCTGGTGAATAACCTTGTTAACAAATGTACATGGTATAGGAGTATATAGGTTACTTGTATATCTCACAAAGTTGTAAAATTGCAGGCAGAGCTACATAGGATAATTTTACATCACCTTACTTCACCTTAGGCTATAACAGGACAGGCTGAATAACACACACAGCACACCTGTTCCACTCCCACTCAAGGTTTCATGACGATCTCCTCATTCTCACTACTACGCATACCAATAGATAATATGTAAGCAAAGTCTACCAAGAGTTCAACTGGTATTCCTTTTTTTTTTTACATTAATATTATTTTTTAATACATAAAGAGGCACTTCACGGAGGGACTTCAGTGAGTAGGTAAGGAAGACCAAATTTCTGAGGCAAAAGTCACCTGTGCAGATACCTCATTATCCATCTTTTAGTTCTGGGAGAATGACACCCACAATGCAGTTCAAATTAAAGCACTGAATAATTCCTTATCTCTGGATTATCACCATCTACACAGAACAGTGTTGTTATGATCACATTCAAGTTTTTTATTTAAAGTTGCTCATTCACTAGAAAACTTGTTAAACTTGTCCTTAGCATTACAAGGTAAAGAGGGTTGCAAGCACCACACAGTGGTTGGTGCATCACAGTGTTTGGGAATCTTTTCTAAAATTACTTTGTAAGTTTGTAAAAAAAAAAAAAAAAAAAAAAAGAAAGAGAAAAAAGTTTCAAAATACCTAGCACTGACACTGCAGGCGCACACATAAACAGCATGTGCCACTTTGTGTTCATTTTCCCCTGTTAAGCCACACACTCACAGATCAGTAGTCTCATGAAATATGAGAAACAAACAGGGTTGGTTGCAAATGCTATCCATGCACAGTCACTAAAATTCTTTGCTGCAATCTTGTAAGATTCATTGTTGGGTACATCTTTGGTTCAAGGTTTCAGACATTCATGCACATTACACTTAGGGAGAACTTGTTCTTTGCCCTTTTAAGAAGTGTTCAATACTGCGCAGAACAGTTCAGCATCCACAAGCAATGGAGGGCTTTGCATGCTTCTTGGCACATGAGGGATGGGGTTAGGGTCATGCGGTGAGGTTGGGGTTCTTGTTTCACATAGGTTAGGAGTTTCATGATGAAGAATGTCATCGCTGCATTACACTGTTGGAGGAGCAGGTTCACTGGATTCATCTTATCAGATATCTTGCATACAAAGCTGCTATGCGTACTACAAGAAAATCTGCCTAACATCAAAAACTGGAAAGAAAGTGTTATATATATATGGCCAATTCATGTAATCCTTTTTTTAAGTCTTTCTGTAAACACTGTCAAACGAAGGTACCCTTCGTCATAAATAACTGCCATTCTAGAATTTTTCTTTCTTCATTTAACTCAGGCTGCAGGTTTTAGGGTGTATTTTGACATACACTATAAAATCTGTCTGACAACGTCTAGTGTCTGTACTGGATTAGTGATTGAAAAAGGCCAAAAATAAAGATAAATAAAAAAAAAGATGAAATAACAAGTAAATATGCTTAGATATAATTCAAGAATTATCAATATATGGGAGGCTGTGCCATCAGCCTAAAATTTTGAGGAAAAGCTATTTTTCTTTAATACCTACATAAAGGCCACATTGATAGGGAAGAGCAGGAGAGCCTTAACATGCCCTCTTCTTCCCTTTTGCCAGAAAAAACATAAAAATAACTCGGCTCCTTGAAAATCTTGTGGATCAATCACACACTTTAGTTATTTCTCATTCACATTAATGTCAACAACTGTAACAAGATCATGTAACAGAACCCAAATATCTTTATATATATATATACATATATAAAATATTCTATAAACCTCATAGAAATCAACCTCTTTCTATTGCTCTGGCTAACCAATGTCCCTGCGAAGAAAACCATCAAGAGGGATAGTGGGAGAGAAAGAAAGAGAGCGCATGTGACATCCAGGACCCTAATCCAATCTTTGGGGGGCGTTGCACGTGTTCCCATTACAGGAGCAGCAAGAACCGCTGTTTGTAGGAGTTGAGAATCGGTTCATCAGTCAGTTTCTTTTACATCTATGGCAATGATGAGGGCGGTTGTCAGTGGTGTGTTCTAGTACTGGTAGTCATCTGAGTCTGCGTAATCTGGGTAGTCATCATCCACATCCATGGAGTCGGCTGCAAGGTTGGTGACAGTGGCAGAGAGGGGCGAGTGCTTGTTGAGGCCTCCCCCTACACTACCACCACCCACTACACCTCCGGTCAGGGTTCGGCCACCTCCTGGACTGGAATCTAAGGCATCATCACAACCCATCGACAGCTCATCTTCATCACCGTAGAACCTGCAAGACATGAGCTAGTGAGCAAAGTTTTTTTCTTTCTTTTCTTTTGTAGAAAAAAAAGCAAACAAATGCTTCCCATGAATGAATATATGTAAGACCTAACCCCATATAAGAAAATGACAGTGGCTTCCAATCATCATATAAAAGAAACAAGGTTTGAGCATATGTAATAAAAAAATAACTTGTAAAAACACTAAATCAGTGACTTGAGAGAAAAACAGATACTCATTATAAGAGAAACTACAGAAGGTTTCCAGCTTTCTCAGAACATGAGACAGAAAGAGATATGATAAATGCACAATGAGTAGTGACAAACAAAAAGTAGTATTCAAGAAATGAGACAGAAAGAGGGTATAAATGTACCTATTCATGACATTCTGATCTCAAACACCATAAGAGAAATTGAAAGTTGGGAAAAAATCCTTCTGCAGTTTCTTGTATCAACATGAATGTACTTAGGGATGGAAATGTACAAATTACAAATGTACTTAGGGATTGAAAATCTACAATATCAATAACAACAAAACAACATCAATCTAAATTAAACAGGATCAATTATTAATGATTAATTAAATTGAAACAAGTCTTCTTTTAGGAATTTTTTTTTTTGCTCTTTATCATTATTAGTCCATCACAATCTTTATTCTTTAAAAAAAGAAATTTAGAAGACAAATTTTGGTACTTTGCTGATATATATACTTATAATTCTATAGCATTTTACAGAAGCTCTACTTAAGAGATCAATAAGTGATAAACTATCTATAAATCAAAGACTTATCCTTTAACACCCAAAGTGCAATAAGCTGTGTTTCCATATAATATTCAGCAAAGTATTTGAATTTTTTTTTTTATTTGTAAATTACCTTTTTTGGTGAAAGCAGGGATATCCATTTTTTAAGCAATAGGTATATAATATATTCTACAGGAGAAAAAAATCCACTCTTTTTAATCTAACATCTACATGCTGCATCTTTTGTTTTGTTTTTAATGCAAAGAAGCAGATGAGAACTAAAAAAAAACAAAAAAACTCAAACTGTATTGTATGCCTATCAATCTAGTAGGCTTTCTTTAGAGAGCAAAGAGAAAGAGAGGGAGAGGGGAGAAAGAAAAGGGTAAATTGATTTGGTACAAAGGAAGGAAAAAAATGTACTGGCAAAATGTATACAAATACAACATGAAAACATTAATGTGTGCACAAGAACTGCAGCAAAAGTGCACACACAGCATAAGAAAAGCACTCGCCATGCAAGTGACCAAAGGGTAGAGGGGGACAGAAGGGAGCAAAACAGGAGAAAAAGGGAGAGGAGGAGTTGGGGAGGGAAGGGAGGGCAGAGTGGGTGGGAGAGCAAATGACCCTCCACTCTCCCCTATCTCCTACCATCCACTCTTTACCGCCTCCCCCTTGTCCTCCAAGTCCCCCCTGGCCCCCTCAATATCCCCAAGGTACACTGGCTTCCCACCTGTCAAGTGCACATCATCCTCACAGACTCTCCTCCACAATCCTGCAAGGTGCACAGTGCACTTAAGTTTCTCCACCACTATTGCCTGCACCTTCATCTAAAGTTCCACCCAAGAAGAACCTAAATGGAAAGAATCCAGGGCACCTACGTTTATCATCGTCCTCATAGTGAGGAAACAAGGGAGTTGGGGATGGTCTTTGTTGATTAGGCTTGGAGTGATATTTATTTTTTCCTTTTTTAACTATTGGGTGTTTTGTTTTTTGGAATGGTGCAAATAAAGGAAGGGGATAGGGAGGGTTAGATTATCTCAAATCAAAAACAATAAAATTGCTAAGAACAAACACTTTATTCCCTGGATTGCATGATCAGAAATTAAAACTGTACAAGGATAAACTAAGCTATAGGTACTTTTCCCACAAATGCATGAAACTTTTTGTAAATATGAGTATATCAATACCATTATTGAGAAAAAGCCAAGAAGAAAGTGAGTGAGTGTGTGAGGTGTAAGTGGTGTAGGTCTAGGTTTAGATTTAGATATAGATGTAGGTGTACATGTAGATGTAGATATACATTTAAATGTAGATGTAGATGCAAGTGTATATGTAGGTGTAGTTGTAAGCATAGGTATATGTTTTGATGTAGGTATAGGTATAGGTATAGATGTAGGTGTAGGTTTAGGTGTAGGTGTAGATGTAGATGTAGGTGTAGGTGTAGGTGTAGGTATAGGTTGGTTAGTTGTAGATGTAGGTATAGGTTTGGATGTAGTGTAGATGTAGGTGTGTTTTAGCATCTTTATATGCATGTACAAGAAGTAGAGGGAGAGTGACAGAGAGATAATGAAATATATAATAAAACTGTCTTGAGATACAACAAATACCACTAAATTCTAAACATTGAGAATCGGTGAGAAAAGATCATAAAATTTCCATAACCATAACAGACACAATCACAGGGTATGGAGTTCATTAATTGCTGAAAGGATAAGGAGAATAAAGGAATACCAATGAAACTACTCTGCCAAGACAGATAGAGAATCAATACCTATGAAAAAAATATATATCCAAAAATAACAATGACAGGGTAGTTATAGAGAACATCTGAACTATAAGATGACATACATCTACTCCAAATGTCACACCTATTTTGCATCTACTTCACTTCTTACTGAAGGTCATATCAAAAAGCCAAATATAAAGTGACACAGACAATGCCAAAAAATATAGAAAAAATTGAGAAATAAAAAATATATATAAAGCAATGGAACAAAAAAATTCATGAAAATCTACCATAAGAAGACGTTTACACTCATGCCAACAAGGAGAGGTACTCGCCTTCATTAGCACTAAGAATTACGGTTAACCTTGACAACAATTTTCATTTTCTTTTTCTCTTTTTTTGATTAAATTTTGCTGAAAAAAGAGAAACCCACATGATAGGTTGCAGTATTTGTGAAAACCAGTAATTGTCTTTAATGATACTCTCTTTGCATTGATATGTTGGTTTCCTATTCTAGTCCTATATTACTTACTTAGAACCTAATTTTGAGTATCTTCAACAGACACATTACCTTAGAAATAAAACAGTAAATCTCTATCCTCAGATCCTTTACAGTGAAGAAAAACAATAATAAAAAAAACAGTGTTTGGATGAAGTTGCTTTCTTCTAAAAATCAGCTTGATATAAAACACAAAGGCATTTGGAAGATTATACATATACACACATCTGTTCACAATGGCAATTTTTTTTTTCATCGCTTATTAAGAACACATGAGCAGGGAAAGTAGTTGAAAAAAAAAAAAAAAAAAAAAAAACACCTAGAAAGAACACTTACAATCCTAAATTCATGAAGAGAACCTTAACCTTCAGAACACCCAAAAATAAAATCCATGAATAAAACCAAAGAATCAATAGAAAAGAAATCAAAGTAAAAAAGAAGAAGAAAAAACAAAAACAAAATCAACCTACATATCATCCTGGTGATCGGCTCCGCCCTCCTCCGCCACCAACAGCTCGTACTCCTCAGCCGCATAGCGATCCCACTCCGAAACCTGCAAGAACTAGGAACAGTCATCCACAGTGTAGCATATTTTGTCCTTAATATCCTTTAGTTGAACTGTACTCAGTATTGTTCATTCAAAAGTGGAATGATGATGATAATATTGGGTCAGAACAATTCTTTTTTCAAACTGTTATCATTCTCAATCAAAAGAAAATAATGATAATGACTCTGAAGTAACTGCATATATCAATACAAGATTTTCCACTAGAAACAAATTCTCAATATTATAGCCCCACTACAGTAAAAATACATAGACAGGAATAAACAAGTACTTGGAGTCACTTCACATAATAGGATGTCATTAACTATGAAATTTCTTCCCTCTCTTCAGATCCAATCCTAAACTTACTGTGCTGATTCTGTGCCTCTCTAACAGCTAATCCTTGCATGTGTTGCTATGGTTAAACAATGTGCAGTGGATTATATTGTTCAGTTTTAAAATCTCTAGCTAAACTCATCCTCAAAAACATTACATATATGTTACCAATATATACATTAGACAATTAGAAAAGGGGGTGCATTACACAAGCACTGTCCACTTTCTTTGTGACTAAAAGCTTATTGACACGGAGTTGGGTAACTGGCTACAACTGTTGATACTAGAATAGTATGAATGTAGCTTAATTGATCAAGATATCAATGTAATGTTTAATGTTGCATTAGCAATTTTCACAAGACCAATAGAAATTATTGTGTAAAAGAAGAGAAAGAAACTGCAGCAGAGGATACTTCTGGGCCATGTGACTGAAAAAGAACTAGAAAAATAGCCAGGACTTCAACTTAACTCTCCACTATTCCAGCAAGTAGCAAATATGCTAACCTTCCATTTACATTTGGCACAAAGAGGGGTAGTTTACAGGCTGCTAACATTTGCAGCCAAAAACCTAGCTCAGTGTCAACAGGCCATAAGTGGTTATGTTCTTAAGGTACATATATTTAAATGTATACTACACTAAGGACTATTAAGACCTATTTTAAGAAAAAATCAAAATCATTAGACCTATTATACATTGATGATTTGGAAAGTTGAGACTCCTGCCATCCCGTAACAGCTTTTACCTTCATTTTCCTTGCAAGAAAGCTAGGATGTTTAGATAAAATCCAGGCATCATTAGACAACAAAGAGAACTATCTCAGAAAGCAAAAAGAAGAAAAAAACACTAATCAATACATAAATAATGTCCCAACAGTTTGTATTCTCCTGAATAATATACTGAATAATGAATGGTCTTTTATCCCCATACCTCTGGCCCATCATCCTCAGCTCTGTGTGATGCGAAGGGATCACGCTGCTCATGGTCCAGGTATTTCTCGAGGTTGAAGAACGTATCGAAGAATATGGGAGTCATGCGGCAACGCTTCAGATCCCTTAGAGATATCTTGTCGCCCATCTCTGGACGCACCATATCCAACATCTAATATAAAACAAAAAATATATATAAGAAAACATGACAAAATGAAAAAAAGGAAGTTACGGAGGAGTGAAAAATCACATAAACCAACTTTCCTTAGTATAGATTTTGAAACTGACACAAAATAAAACAAAACTCTTTAGCAATGGCAAATGGCATCTCACCTGACAGAGGCAGTCATGGAAAGGAAGAGTCTCAATGCCGAGGGCCTCCATGCGCTGCAGCTGCTCTTCATAGAAGTATTCTAACTCATACATGGACAGATAGCCATCACCATCCAAGTCCATGCACCTATGGCAAGGAAGAGAGAGATGAGTGAATATGTGTGTGAAGTTCTTCTAAAGGTCAATGGTTGTGTAACCTAATGCTTCAAATTTTATACTTACAACTTTTAATTGTCTTCTTAGTAAAGACAGTGAAGATGATAATCAAACACAGGATATTAACAATATCAAAGATTATCACCAGTGATAACATCGATGACAAGATCAAAATAGTGAATAACATTAACAGTGGCAATACCAAATAAAAAAATAAATCAATAAACATATAAACTACCATCACCAACACCAAAACCAACACCCCAAGCACACCTGAACCAATATTCAATGGCTGTGGGATGCCGTTTATCCTCCTCGGATATCAGGAACCACACAAACTCCTGGTAGCCCATGCGGTCCTGTTTCTGCAGCCTTCCTCTGGTAACTGCCCCGCTGAATATTCGCTCAATCATGCGCCATGACAGCGCTGGAAGAAATGAATGAATGAATACACCAGAAATTTACCATGTGACAGAATTACAGTAATTATGGAAGGTAAAATTTTGCAACCTGATGGAGAACCACACACATAAAAACTTTTTAAAACACCTCGCAAACACAATCTCATACACCAGTACATTCATATAATACTAAATTGTTTCTTGACCATTCACACTGAAGGAATCTCAATTATCGAAAGCTCAACAAGCAACAAGAAACACCATGAAACTTCTTCCTCACTCACCTCTTTCATTATGTTTTGCAAGATCATGCTTGTCAATGAAAAGGTCATGATCCGTGTCCAATTCCCAGAACTTGCAATAAATAACATAAAAATGCTCATAGCTGAAGTAATCAGTGATTTGGTTAATATCTTCTTCTTCCTCTAAATAGCTAATAACCTGAAAGTAAAAAGATCATGCATTAGAAATTCCATTCCCATTTCTATAAAATCAACCCTATACTACATCTATTTATCAACAGATTTATAAAAGAAAAAAAGTATCTGAAATTAATAAAAGAAAGAACTAACAAGCAAATTACTGTAACAGGTACAGCATAAATTGTTTTCCAAAGGTTTTGAAACAATGTGGTCAAGGCAGAAATATCACTAGTTGCAATAAGTTAAAATGACATTTTCAAATAACTTACTTGTAACAAGTTTGATCTCCTAAGTTCTGGAACTGTTATTCTACCTGACCAGGATCTATTTACACAATAATATATTCTTGCTATGACCTGTAAAAAGGAAAAAAAAAATATGGTCAGTAAATTTCAAAGTAAATAAATAGTAATAACACTCATAAAACAATCAAATACAAAGTAATAAGAATGTGAACAACAAAAAAAAATAATAATGTGATGGTAAATCATGAACTATATAGTATATTAATTCCTAAATTACTTTATCAATTACTTTATATATACCAATTTTTACTGTGTAATACATTATATATGACCTATGTACTATTGGTCATATCCCCTTCCAATGACCTTTTTTCTTTCCTCCTTAATTTCTTCATAGAATATTTTGGGTTTAAACTTCAAACCTATATAATTTCCCTTTCTCTAAACACAAACAGCAGTGGCTCAATCCTCAT